TAACAAGATATGTATGTAAAATAGTAAGAGCTTTCATAGCTTAGCCGTCCTTTACCAAAATGGTTTTAGAAATAAGTAGCTTAAGGCTAGAGTAGTTAAGAATATAGTTCCTTAACTACGTTCTACAAGCTCTAATTGTAACTGTACAAAGTATATGAATTTGTATAATTACAATTTTACTCTTTGCGTATTCAACGCTTTACTTATTACTTCAGTTCGCGATTGACCGTATAAGTCTGTACACAAGTCATTTTTATGTCAAGTATTGTTTTAATTAATTTCTACAATTCAACAAGTTTTATTTATCAAGATTATCAGTAATCAAGATAAGAGCATCAGCTCCCACACTAACAATAAAACTACGTAATCCCATCTTTACTTTAGTACACTTAATAGTACAGAATCTTCTCTCATCCGCCTATATTTAGTACATAGCCTTTGCAATACCATCTTAACCATAAGGGCCCTCAGATCCCATGCCCAGGACCTCCATCCTCCATCCATGAAGAATCAATTTTTTTACGACGGACACATGTCGGCTTCACGAGCTGGTTCGATTCCTGCACGGAGCAAATCTTTGTGTGCTCCACAAATTGTTGTATCGGGTCTGGGTTCAAAAATCCAAATAAAATTCTAAAAGGGCCCCGACGCACGTATCTCCGAGCGGTCACCGGTGACCGGTCCCCACTAACTATATTATAGACCGTATTTCCAATGTTCAGAGACTATTTTTGTATCAACAGATTTAGGGGATGATATTTCAAAAGGCAGCCTTCGAACAGCGCTCATTAATAAAATTACTAGCTACTCCGTTGCGGTTTAATCCGTTGTTCAGCTGGTATTACCGATAGCGTGATGTTTTATAGGTACATACCTTCTTCAATATAAATTCAATAGTATATAGTATATACATATATACCTTAATTCAATAGTATATACCTTCTTCAATAAATAGACTATCCAACACAATAAGAATTATTTAAATTTGATCATTAGTTCCGGAGATAAGTGGCAAATGGCGGACGATTGTCCAAGTTCGACGTAAAATTTGTCTATAGTCCACGATGCGTCATTTAAAGAATGCATGCAAACGTTGGCGGAATTAACGCAATCTCCGGATATTTTTCATAATTTCTAAGCAAACTTTTGTCATTCGAGGCCACTTGTTGTTTGTAAAGGATGCATTTATTCGTCAAATAACGCAATGTTGTCCACATTACCCATATGTTATAGAAACAGTTATTGGATTTAGAATAACATTTTTAAACGCTAAATAATAATGGTTCCGAAAAACAAATTAATCTCCGGCGATCTGTGGCCGACTATAAAAATGGATGTTCGAATAACAAAACTAAACTTTCAAATAGAATACTGAACCTCCGACAAAATTACTAAGTCACCGACAACAGAAGTTTTAGGTTAGGTTAGTATTATAGCAATAAACGGTCATATTTATTTTTCGAAGATTTTGGTATTTTATTGGGTAGTTTCTTCAATTTTATTCGGAGAAACGTAGTCGGAAAGTTAGTATTTTAGGCAGTAGATTTGATGTTTTGGGTAAGGAAAATCCTTCTCTTTTGTTGGACCTTTTATTATTACCCTCTTAAACTGATTCAAAACACCCTATTGAATCGAATTACAATTTTATCAACCGCTAGCCTATTTTATCAGCCAGCTTTACAGTAAGCATACAATTAGTTGATATGAATTGCAACGTTGTCAAAAAATAAAAAATAAATAGTGTTTTATTCGTTTTGTATATTTAAAATTTGTTATTCTATTATAAGCTGCTTCAATCTATCATCGATGTATTACAATTTAGACTGCACATATGTCAGCTTCAAAGCAGTTCACAAAACCGTCGATGAATTAAATATTACATTAGAATGTTCCAAAAAGCATTAAATGGAAAATGGACATTAATTTCAGTGCTTTCGAAACTACAAGAGGCTTATGAGGCATAGCAAATTATTCTCATATTAGAGTGTTTCCAAACGAATGAACCCTATGAAAGAAAGGGGTGAGAGAGCCCGGTCCGCTGTCCAGACATTGCTGTACTTAAATATAATTATAAACAAGTTAAAAATACAAGCACCAGACAAATCCCTTTCGCATCTAGACGGACACGTTGTAATATTTTTGTATTACTCAAAGACGGCATTATATGGGTTTCACCAATATAAGTACCTATGATTCTCGAAAAACATTTAGATGATGGACAACGCTTTGACCGCGTTGTTGTGTGTAATATCTTAGTTATTAGCTTAGATGTTTTATACTTAAAATACATGTACACAACAATGAAAAATCCAATTTGAAACGAAGGGGTAATTAATATAGAACAAAAAGGCAATCATCGAATGTGGCGCTAATCTACAAATCCAATGCAATAATACACTTAGAATGGAATCTAAATGACTACGGGAGATAAATAACTTTTCCATATTTCATACCATTTAACTCAAAATTGGCGTCTATAGTTACTCATTTCTTATTTCCCGAATGCTCTTCATTTTACCTATTTATCTCGTAAAAAATGTTCTAGGCCAAAAATGTTACTTAGTGCAAAATAATGCCTGGCTTCTCACCACTCTATAATCATGTGTCACCTGTCAATGTTCTATTTTAAACAATCTATAACAATTGTCACAATACGAGTTGGCTAGACGTGCTCAATAAAATATTATGAAGTGTAATGTAATATATAAAAATAAAAATTTTTCAATACCTACATTACACTTGCGTATAAGCGACTAGTCTACCCCTCCCGGCGTTGCTTGGGTTTTATTTCCTGACTTTTCCCGGTGATATTTTTTAACTTTATATATTTTATCTTGACGATAAAAAAGTACCAACAAAAAGAGATTTGTCCAATTTAGTCCATTAATACGAAAGTTATGTAAGTTTATATACCGGCATAAGCCGGTAAACGAGCAGACGGATCACCTGATGGTAAGCAATCGGCGTCACCCATGGACACCTGGGACATCAGAGGCGTTACAAGTGCGTCACCGGCTTTTTGGGGATTATGAGTTTGAGGATCGTTGGGGACTGAATCCCCAAGTTGAAGGATTGGGGAGATTGGGGAAGGGGAAGGTAATTGGGCGTTGCTTCACGTCAGTTTTCTGTGAGGCCGTGGTATCACTCCGATCGAGCCGGCCCATTCGTGCCGAAGCATGGCTCTCCCACACTTAAAAGTGTTTTAAGTTTCACTATAATCTATCATACCTATCTATCTTCTTTACAATGTCAGACCAAAGTGATTAAAACCAACAAACTAGCAAACTTTCATCAATAATGTTAATCCATATTTTACTAAAACGAATTATTGAATGTAATGAACTAAACTTCCTATTTACAACTGTTTCATTCAAAATCAATAAGAACAGCTATGTTCCGGACACTTGACCAAAAATGCAAAGAACCCGTCTTACTTAATGTCATAGATTGTCAATTAATCGATAAAATCATCGCATAATAAATAGATAAGATACCTAATCAATTCTAGTATTTGTTAACCCTTGGAAATGTGCACAATAGAAATTACATTGTGCCTTGCTCAGGTTTGCATGAAGGCCTGTGGTAAGCCTTCCTGGGTTAAGACGTGTACCCTTTTTTCCCAGAAAGGCTTACCCTTCCTGGGTTAAGTCGTGTACCCTTTTTTTCAACTTTCAAGTCATGTGCTAA